AGGGAGTTAGGAGCAGGGTGGGTGTATAGGTATTGTGTTCCACTCTCTTAGAGATGGGGGCCAGTGAGGCTGGGGTTTGCCACAAGGCATTTGAAATTTTCACCACCCTGCCCAGTACCGAGGCAGACAAGACATTAGAAAGGACGTCCAAGGGCTCCTCCACCTCCTCTGCCTGAAGGTTGAGGTTTGATGCCACCCTTTTCAATAACTCCTGATGGGCTTTAGAGTCCTCCTGTGGGACGGAGGGGCCGTAATCGCCTCATGAGGGAAGGGTGAGGAGGCAGGTGCGGTACTTTGCGTGTCCACCGGCACTGGACGATCCACCACCTGGTCGCTCTCCGGGCACGGTCCCGAAGATGCACGTTCCACAGACTCCTTCCTCGGAGGCCAGGAGGAGGCCGACAGCTGTTCCGAGGCTCCTGCTGCCGAGCGAGCCCCACTGGGGGCTGCGTCGGGGGCCATGGTGTCCACTGGTACCACTGTGCCGGCCATGGGGCCCAGTGCCACTACATCTGCTGTGGCACCGGCGGAGCAAGCTGTTTGGCCTGGCTGGCCTGACCCATCGATAGATGATTACGAAGGGAGGCCGGGCTGACGTACGCCTGCCGCTGTCCCTGGACTGGGAGGAGCGGAGGCCCCGGGAGCGATGCCGACCACGAGACCGTGACCCCGACGTGGAGGAACAGTACCGCCGGTAGCAGCTGCTCAGTGATTGTCTCCGGCAGGTGGATCCGTGGTGGCGACGCGCCGGCGATTGACGCCTGTGGCTGCAGGAGCGGTGCTATGGCGGGGTCCTAAAGCGAGACGACGAACAGGAACGGCGTCGAGGTTTGTATCGCGACTGGCTACAATAGCCCCTCTGAGACAAGGACCTTCAGCGGCGTCTGGCTCGGTCCCGTCGGTGTCCGCTCCTCGAGGCGGAGTGGTGCCTGGAGTCTATCAGACAGAACCCAGCTAGACAACATGGTGGGGATCCACGGCGACCTTCATGGGACAGTCGCTGAGCAGCGAACAGCGTCGGGAACATTCCCTCGACCATCACGGTCCCTCCGGTCACCAGTATCGAGCTGGGGGCAACTGTGGAGATCCCAGTGGCGGCTTGCCTCTGGACTGCGGGGCAAACATTGGCGGTGCTCCTGGTACTGGCATGGACATAACGTCCCTCTGGCATGGAGGGCATCTGGACAAGCCTGCTCAGAATGGGCTGGGCTACTCCGCTCGACCTGAGTCGGAGGCCTACAGGCAGATGGGGACCGAGGACTGCCTAACATGGGTCTAGTCTCTCCCCTCCAGTCTTGCTCCAGTGCCACAGCGAAGGCCTCTTCTTAGCCTTCTTGGCGTGCCCCATGGACAGGGAGCAGTGCCGACTGGTAGATGGCACCGGGGGTTGCCGCTCACTGGCACCACGGTACCTGGTGCCAACTTGGAGCGGCGCGCCAGAGTTCGGCTCAACACCGACTTCATCAGGATGGCCCAGAGCCCAACATCTCTCTCGGTCTGAGGCTTGAACGACTTGCGAATCTCGCAGCGATCGCTGAGATGGGTTTCACCCAAACACCGTAAACAGTCCATGGGCGGATCACTCACTGGCATCGGTTGCCTACAAGTGTAACACAACTTAAAACCCAGGGCGCAGGGCATGCCCTGGCCCAGGCGCACCAACAAAACTAAACTAAACTACTAACGACAGGTACCATACACTGAACGAACAAGCGTTCTGGGGACGAGCTGGAGCAAAGCTGGAGCAGAGCAGTTCCGAAGCACCTTCACTGGCGGCAAGAAGGAACTGAGGGTGGGGGGAGTGCACAGCGCCCCTTATACCGCACCATGGAGGTGCCACTCCAGGGGTCGCTCCCCTACAGATACTGCTAGGGGGAAAACGGACACCAGTACATGTGGTGGGCACGTACAGCTAGTGTGGAACACACATGAGCGATCACTCGAAGAATAATAGGTCTTTGAAGATGCTAATCTCTCAACTTCCAGTGGATGCTGCAAATAAACTTTTGAGTTATGGCTGCAGGGTCATGTGATCACGTCACCTGGTACTGGAATCCATCTTGGAATACCAGTGCTTTTCCACTGATTGGTATGGGAACTAAGTTTGAAAGCAAAAGGTTCCCGCCCCATGCAAAATCTGTTTAAAGCTGGGGGGTGATATAATCAGGATAGTTCTTCACTGAATCCCCACCCAGGATGACTGGAAAAATCAGAAACAAAGAGAGAAAGAGCTGAGCCCAGGCTGGAAGGGTGTCTGGTCTGAGAAAGAAATACCTGGAGTTTTAAGCTGTAAGCAAAAGCAACTTGCTTCCAAGAATCTCTGCAGTCTGCCTAACACAGTATTTAGGGTGAGAATTTGCTACTTGTATCAGTTTCTTTAGTACCTTATGCTTAGTCTGCATATTTTATTTGCTCAGTAATCTACTTGGATCTGTTTACTATCCCCTATAACAACATACAATCTAGAGCTTTTGTAGTTAAACTTGTTTTTGTTCTCTCTCAAACCAGGTTGTGGAATTTGTAACTAGGGGCAGGAAACTGCATCTCTTCCTCCACACTGAGGGAGCAAATTTCATGCACTTATGCTGTAATTCTCTGTGCAGCAGATGATACAATTTTGCGTGTACAGTCCAGGGGGTGTGTGCGCACTAGCAATTGCTTAGCTGGGCTCTCCCACATAAAGCCAATCTCGGCATGTGTGAGAAACTGGAGCTGGGTGCGGCCCTACCTGTGTGTGTGCTGGAAGGGGGCTTGAGAGCCTGTCACAACAGCTGTGTAAAGGAATCCCAGGCTGGTGGGTCAGTCGAGCTCAGTGGTACCCCAGTTCTTAGTGACAACCGGGGGGGGGGAACCCATCACAATGGTCTCCGAGGCTCAGAGAACCACACTGGATAAAAGAGGGAGTGGGTGATGCAGCAGGGTGCTTGGTCCAAGCCAAGGCCTGGATGAACATGTAACCACAGAAAACTCCCTGGTGGGGGTTGGTGGACTGACCCCTAGACAGAGCCCTTGCTGATCTCTGGTAAGAGGTCCGCTTGTAGGCCCTTTGGTTTAAAATGTTTTCTGTGCAATGCTTTCACTTAATAAATATATTTGCTTAGAAAGAGCTGGGCAGTAGCTAACCGTGTTTATAGCCTCTGAGGAGAAAGCAAAGTGCAGGCACTGGGGAATTCACACTGGAGGCAGGTAACTGTGCAGCCTAGAAACACTCTGGCCAGGAGGAAGACCCCCAAGTCTGGTGAAGAGCAGGGTGCCGGACAGGAGCAGCTGGCCTGAACTGAGATACACGCACCCTTGTAAGCTCTCTGGAGCAGGCTCCAGCTTTTTGCTAGACAGATAGCAGCAAGAAGCGGGGGATTGCAGTACAGCTGATTACAGCGCCGAAGCCCAAGTTGAAGTTCTGGCCCAAAGTCTGAGTATGGGGGCCTGCCTTTCCCATCAGTAGCAGGGGGCATCCATTTGCCAACTTGTGGCAGCTGTAGGAAATCATCATTAAACCTGCACAGGCTGGAGCTAGACATTCACACACTTTGTTGTGCCATCAGCCACCCTGACACCAGAGTATCATGCAGTTGGTAGGGGTAGATGCAGGCAAAGCAGGGACAGCTGCTCTGAGGGGGAAGGTGGTGGATGGGAAATTGGGGCCAAGGCAGGATCTCTCATGCCCCAAGACCCAGAACTATGCCATGGAGATGGGAACATGGCAGATGCTCCAGAGGCTACCTGGAAATTCCCGGAGGGGATCATACAAATTCAGGGGACCAGGTTCCTGGGAGGAGCCGGTTTAAATCCTCTTCAAAATCCTGTCTGTAAGTGTTTGTCCTTACTGCTACCTGTAACTTCTAAAACTAAAATCCCTGAGTTACCTATTTCTATGCCAGCCTGGTCTTAAGTCAGTTTCACTCTTTCCCCCCACTACAGAAGTACTTGTTTTGGGAGGTCCATCCCACAGCAACTCAGTTTGAAACACAGACTAGAGCCAGCATGCTTTCCCAGCACCATGGCTGGTTTGCACAGCAGCACTTTGGCCTTGACAGGTGTGCACACCAACCCTAGGGTTACCATATCTAATAAAAAAAGAGGACCCTCCATGGGCCCTGGCCCCGCCCACTTCCCCACCCCTAGCCCCGCCCCAACTCCGCCCCTTCTCCACCCTAACTCCGCCCCCTCCTCCCTCCCACTCCCAGCCACAGGGAAAGGGCTGCCCCAGCGCTACCGGCTTCACGGTTTGCCAGGCAGCCCCCAGACCCTGCGCCCCCGGCTGGCGCTTCCCCAGCACACCTGGAGCCCGGGAGGGGAAGCGCCCAGCCGGGGGCGCAGGGTCTGGGGGCTGCCCGGCAAACCGTGAAGCCGGTAGCGCTCGGACTTTGGGCAGCCCCTATGCCTCCAGACCCTGCGCCCCCAGCCGGGCACTTCCCCTCCCGGGCTCCGGCGGCGCAGGGCCCGGAGGCACGGGGGCTGCCCGAAGCCGGTAGCGCTCGGGCAGCTCGGCTCTTAAACAGAGCCGAAGAGTCAGGGGAGGAGCAGAGCCGCCATTTTCCCGGACATGTTCGGCTTTTTGGCAATTCCCCCCGGACGGGGGTTTGACTGTCGAAAAGCCGGACATGTCTGGGAAAAAGAGGACGTATGGTAACCCTAGCCAACCCCGCTTAGGAGGGATTTCAGCCCTTGACACCGTGTTGCGGTAGAACTGGCTGCAAAATTAAAATCCTCCCCTCCATTTCTGTCAGTGTCTAAATTTCCCATGGAAGCAAACTATTTCAGCAGAAGACTGGCTCTCCCCCCCCCGCCCCCCAGCCATGGTTGGGAGCCACAGTTGAAGCCGAGAGCAGAGCTGTGGCCATGGGTGGGACTGGGAGCGGAGCCACGGTTGGGGCCCAAGGACCAGAAGTGGAGCCACAGCCAGGAGATGGGGCCAGGAGGGCTGGATGAGGCTCCCTCCCCACCCTCCTGCGGGGGCTGGCCCGGCCCCGGGAAGGACGAGGCACCAGGCAAAGCAGTACATAAAACCCAAGATTTATTCCGTTCTCAGAGAAACAAGTTTCCATCGCACAGGTCGCAAACGGTTATCGGGGACATGAAAGAAGCCATCTAAAATATACAAGCGAAGCCCAGCCTGGGATCCCGTTGCACGCTGGAGAAGCAAAAAGAACCAGGCCAGAAAGCGGCTGCCCTGCCGGGACAGGTACAGGAGTCGGAATGGCCCTGCCTCGGGCGTCAGTTACAAAACCACTGAACCGCAGCTTCCCCTGGCGTGGGCGAGGGGAGGGAGCACACCGGCATCGCAAGCAGGGGGAGGGGAGAGAAGGACGCAGCTAGAGAGCTGACAGTGGCTTGGAATAGCTTCGAAGGGGAGCGCTTGTGCCAGGGATGTTGAGATGAACATGGAGCAAACCCAGGGAGCTTCCCAGCAGGACAAGCTGTTGGGAACCAACCCCGCCAGCCTTTTTCCTCACTGAGCCACCTGCCCCCCCAGAGCCCCCTACAACCACCCCAAGATCCCACGCACATGGCAGCAGAGAGCAGCACTTCAGCCCAGGACCCCACAATCAGGGCAGGTGAGCCCAGGCGCTGGGCTAGGTCCCCAGCGCGGGCAGGGATGAGGGCCCAATGCCTAGCGCTCCACTAAACCCAGCCACGACCCTCTGACCTGACCCTGCCTGCAGATAGCTCCCCCCAACCACCCTGCACTGAAATCCCAGAGGAAAGATGGGGGGACCCTGTGTGCGCCGCCCACTTGCAGTCAAGGCAAAGAGCAGCACCGGAGGGGGAGGTGGGTGTGTGACCCTCAACGCAAACCGTGTGTGAAGACTTCATGGCAAAGGAACGGGCATGGGGAGGAGAGGGCTCCCCATCAACAAAAATTTCAACTGGAGTGGGGGGCAGGACGTCCCGCTGCCGCCACGCGACCCGGGGCAAGAGGCGAGTCCCAGGCTTTTTTGGTCATTGCCTGCGGGACGCCGGGCGGCTGCTCCGGTCGATGCAGGCCAGCCCCTCACTCCTCCTCCCCAGCGCCTGCCGAGGCAGCGGGGGCCTCGCCCAGGGAGCCAGCAGGGGAGCTGCGGTGGGTGAAGCTGCTGCCGCTCTCGCTCCGCTGCTCATCTAGCGGGATGGGCTCCACCAGCGCCGAGGAGAACTTCCGGTCGCCGAAGGAGGCGCTCCACTTCGCCTCGAAGAAGCGCTGCAGCCCAATGATGGACTGGACATCCTCCTTGTCCTGGAGGAGGGGAGCACAGAGGCCGGGGGTCAGGAGCCACAGCCGCGAGACACCCACAATCTCCAAATCTGGGATATGCCCCCACATCATCCAAAATGGCCTGTGGCCTGCTCCCATAGCGGCCAGAGTCTCCCCACCCCTACCATGTCCCCCAGAACCAGGACACTCCTCCACTGTGACCCAGGAACCTGCTAGTGCTAACCGGCAGAGAGCAGCGTTTGACAGGATCCCCTGGGGTGCGCACACAATTCACCCAAGGGTGGGGTCTCTACCAGGAGGCAGTAGCCCCATCAGCCCGTTGGTCACAGCAAGATGTATGTAGGGAGTTGTGTCTATGGTGGAAACTCTGCACTCAAGGTTTGGGGGTGAACATGCTCCTCTCAGGGAGGACAGGAGAGATGCTGCTTCTCCCCTGCCCACCGGCTGGCCATGTGCTTCACAGCTGAGGCCCAGCTACCGTCTGGGCTGAAAGCAGATGAAGAGAGAGGGAAAGTTGCAGGAAGAAACAAAACAGGAGGCAGGGAGCCCGTTTCAGGGAAAGGTGCCAGCGGCAGGTCTGAGAACCATGGGTACCCAGGGGGACATTGGCCTGAAGAGTCAGCAGGGCCCACGTAGGCAGAGAGGGGAGGGCTGGGGTGGCCTGGGGAGTTGGGGAGCTGAGCCTCACTCAGGTACACACTAAGCACAGGTGGTAGCAAGGTGCCTCAGCTCTGGCCACCCCCGGGGTGTGCCCTGTACCCACCCTGCCTGATTCATTACCATCAGGACATACCCCTGCCTGCCCCAGAAGGGACATGCCTCTCTCCCCACCGCCAACAGGGGAAGGAGGGTCCCAGGTCACCCCTCACCTCCGTCAGCTTGTTGAATTGCTTGATCATCCGCCAGACATCCTGGGCAAACTCCTCGGAGGAGCCGTAGGGTGGGGAGAGCTTCTCCTGCAGCCTGGCTCGGATCAGGGTCAGGTCGATGGTGTCCTGACCCTCCTGGGGGAAAATGGCAGGGGTCAGGCCTGGCCACACCGGCCAGAGGCCTCTGCCCTCCCTGAGCCCCACCCTGTCTCCTATGGCCCCTCTCCCCGCCAACCCACATGCCAGAAACCTTCTCCCCAGAATAGAGTCCCAGCATTCAAGTACTAGTGAGACTGCCTCATGCCTGGGGCTCTCCACAACCCATGCATCAAGGGCAGCCCCCCCCCCACTTCAGCACCCCCCCTCACACCCCATGAAGTGAGCACATCCCCCACACAGCATCAAGTACCCCCCAACCCCCAGTGAATCAAGCACAGCCCCCCTCCCCAACTCACCGTGGCGGTCGAAAGCCGGTGGAGAGGCCGGCAAGGCTCATGGCACAACAGCTCCAGCAGGACACGCTCACACTTCTGCCAGGCCAAGGGGGACACAGCAGGGTTAGGAGCAGGGACCACGCGACCTCCCCTCCCACTCAGGGCCAGGCCAGACGCCATCCAGCACCCCAACCCCGGCTGTGGCTCCATGGAATCATACAAGAGCAAGGCCAGGCCCCGGGGCACCAGGCCAGGCCCAGTCATGTGCCCCCCCAGACAGCACGAGGCTGACCAGCCCAGAGAGCAGAGGATGAGCACTCTGCCCATACGCCCACCCCCTGCATGGTGCTCTCTGAGGCAGAGAGATTTGCTCTCCAAACCGATCCCAGTCACTTGGACCCCAGCCCGACACACGAACCCTCTGCTCCAAGGGGGAGAGTTTATTGGGGCCCTCATCTTCAGAGGCGGGGAAGTTGGTGCCGTCCTCCTCACCGGGCGCTGGCAGTTCCTGGCACAGCAGGCACTTCCACTCCTGACTGGGGGGCAAATGAGAGGAGTGAGCATTGCCCCCCATGCTCCCAGCCAGACAGCAGGGGACTCCAGTTCCGAGAGAACATTTGCTCTCTCAGTACATCAATAGTAAAGCTGGGGATAGAACCCCGGAGTCCTGGCTCCCAGCACCCCCCCCCCTCCCAGACCTGGGGATAGAACCCCGGAGTGCTGGCTCCCAGCCCCTCCCTTCCCCAACCACTAGACCTCACTCCCATTCCAGGGCTGGGGAAGGGGATAGGTACCTGGGGATCTCCTGCAGCACCGGGAGGTGGCAGTCCAAATGGTAGCACTGCTCACACTGGTTACACATCACAACGGAGCCTGCCTTCCGGCACACTCTGCAGTGGGCAGCATTGGCTGCCTCCATGGCCCCCTCCTGGCTCTGGCCTGGTGTCACGTCCAGACTGGAGCCGATGCTGCCGCTGGGGGAGATGAGGCGAGACACGGAGCCCTCGGCGGCCAGGACGTCCTGGGGCAGAACAACGGGCTTGGTGTCTCTGGGATCCTCTGCCGGATAATCGATTGCTGCCTCCATCTGCTCCTCCTGGGGGGACAGCACAGGGTTAGGGTTGGCTCCCAGCAGCCCAGCAACGCACTCCCAGTGGGACAGAGACACCCCCAGGGCTGGTTTCCACATGGCCAGGAGCCCAGCACCACCCACCAGGACATAGCCCCGCACGGGCCCCCTAGAGCAGACCAACCAGGTACCCCAAGGCAGCACCAACCTTGACTATGGCTCCGGGCAAGATGCTGCTGGGGGGTTGGGCGGCAGCCTGCTGGGCCCCACGCTCAATGACGATCAGGTTGTAGTCCTCGTTACTGTTGCCAGGGAAGACTTTGAAGACAGGCGGCTGGCTGTCGGCTGTCAGGTCCAGATCCAGCCGCTCCAGGCTCACCCGCGGCACCTTGCGCATGACATTGCCGTCCGAGGGTCTGGGCCTGCAATGCAGCACGGGGGGGGAGGGGTGTCAGCGTCATCAAGGCATGACCCCTGCCCCACACCCGGGTGGAGGAGGCCACAGCAACAGGGGATCCACAGGAGGAAGGGGGACAGCATGCAGCAAGCTGACAAATACAGCCCCACTCCCCCCACCATGACAAGGACCCCACTCCTTCCCCAGACACCAGGGCAAGGATTCAGCTGACTTACCTCTTCATTCCCGATACGTGGGCCTCGGTGCTGTCTGTTGGGGAGAGAGAAGCCAGACACTAGTCAGGCAGCCTTTCTCCCACCCCAACCTGGTTGCCCCCCCATCTTCAGCCATGCTGCCACGGGAAATCCCAAAGGAGCCAGAAGAGTTTCTAGCCCTGGCATGGGTGGGAAGGCAGCCTTCCAGCAGCCTGCCGCCCACCTGAGTCCGCAGGGAATGATGGCTGGTGGGTCTCCCCAATTAATCTCAGTGGGGCATTAATGCTCAGCCCTGATGAGACACTAACTACATCCCTGCGGAGGGTGTGGGCCGCTGGAAGGGCAATAGGACGGACGGCTGCCCGGGGGGAGCTACTCCCACACGGTGCCGTGCCATGCCATACCCTCTGACGAGCCCCCAACACCTCGCTCTGGGGCCAGCCAGGAGCTCCAAGGACAGGGTGATCCTCTGCTCTCCCCCCCCGGGCTCCCCACAGTCTCTTACCCAGGTCTCCAATGCCTTCCTCCTGGGTGTCCATGGGCTGCAAAGGAATGAAAAGGAGGACACATCAAGGAGAATTCAACCAGATCGCCCCCCCATTCCCAGCTGCCGGCCCACTCTACCCAAGAACCTCTTAATGCCAACTGACAAAGGGGTGCAGAGGGGTGGCGTGATTCTGGTACATGCATCTGAGGTCTCAATGACAACTGGTGTCAGCACTGATGCTCAATATCTCAGTGAACAAATGCACAAGTGCTATGAATGCCTGCTGAAAATATAGTCCTGAAGTCTGTACTGAGGTATTAGTCAGCAGCAAAAAGTGACAAACCGGTTGTCTCAGTCAAGTAGCATATCTAGCTGTCTGTTTAAACAGAAATTAAGTATTGTGTATTTCACAACAGTCTGGACTGGATGCAAGTGAAGGCTTGTGAGAATTTCAAAGAGACACTAAACAGGAAGGAAGCAGCTGCCGGGGTTTCCCATGTCGGCAGGCGAACATCAAAAGTCTGATCTCTGGGAGGCAGAGAAGACACTTCCCCAAGAGGTGGGTAGCTACATCCGCAGGAGAAGCCCTCCCACAGCGCCCTGTCTACACGGAGGGGGCTAGGTTGGTATAACTACATCACTCAGTTGTGTGTATTTTTCACACCCCCAAGTGATGTAGTTATATGGATACAGGTCTGTAGTGTAGACCTGGCCTACATGCCGTGGTGGTAAGCAAAGGGCTGGCCCAGAGAGCTGCATCCTACAAGCTGGTGGATGGTACTGGCAGGCCTAGTGATCTGATGAGTGTTCAGTGAATAAGGAGCTGAACATGCCCAGTGTCTGGGGATTGGTGTGAGCCCATCGCTATCTATCTGGACAGCAGTAGGTTGCCAAAGGCTTGTTATTTCAGGGGGATGATCGATAGCAATCACAGACAAAACTGCCTCATGCTCTCAGCAAGCAGTGCTGAGGGGCCACACAACCCTGGGTACCGGCATATATCCATCCTCAGCACCCCATGAGGAATGGACCAGTTACAGGAATCTCCTGGGTCTGGTACCTATACACTAGCTTGCCAGAGTCATGTCAGGTTAATACTGGAAGCCTGTCTCCCACTGCTCAACTTGTCGTATGCAGTGCTGCTGTAGCAGGGTTGGTGTCCCAGGATATCAGAGACTCAAGCTGGGTGAGGTCATATCTTTGATTGGACAAACTTCTATGAGAGAGACACCCAAGCTTACAAGAAGCGTAGTTTATTGGACGAAAGATTACCTCTACCATCTTGTCTCATCTTAATTGTCATGAGGTGTGTGTGCGTGCGCGTGCACACGAAGAGTTGTCTGTAGACTGAAAATTACTACTCCCTGGGGGAAATTCTGCACATTTGAGAACATGCAGAATTTGCATTTTCCCGCCTGAAATTTTTTGCCTAGGTACTGCAGTTCCGCCGGTTGCCCACCAGAGGCCGATGTGGTGCCAGAACAGCCAGCTGCATTCATGCCAGGTGTTCTAGCACAACAGTGCACTCTGGTGGGCAAAAGGCAGAATTGCAGCCCTTAGGCAAAATGTTTTTTTATGCAGGAAAGCACAAAATTCTATGCCCAGTGCTGCAGAATTGCCCAGGAGTAGAAGTTCATCACAGCACCCTGCCAATGGAGCCAGTTTAGGACAGAGTGGAGAACACAGGGCTGCTTGGGGGGTGTCACAGACTGGGGTTCAGAATGGCTAGTGGGAGGGATAGACTGGAGCATGCATTAAGCCTGGGGACAGGGGCTGCAGAGACCTATGGGGATGAGGGGTACTGGGACGGGGCAGTCGTGCCTGACAATGGGAAAGGCTTGGAGTCAACCAGGCACTGCCTGGAGGAGGCCTCCCAAAACCCTAACAATCCCCCCTCATCCCCCAAGGGAAAAAAACACTCCCACCCACACCCAAAGCTTTCCAGGTTCACTCCTAGGCTGCTTCCCTCTCTCAGGCCTGGTCCCCACTTAGTCCGGACTTCGGACTAAGGTACGCAAATTCAGCTACGTTAATAACGTAGCTGAATTCGAAGTACCTTAGTCCGGACTTACCGCGGTCCAGACGCGGCCGGAAGTCTCCCCCCGTCGACGCCGCGTACTCCTCTCGGCGAGCTGGAGTACCGGCGCCGACTGTGAGCACTTCCGGGATCGATCTGGGATCGATTTATCGCGTCTTAACCAGACGTGATAAATCGATCCCAGAACATCGATGGCGTGCCGCCAGACCAGCCGGTAAGTGAAGACTAGGCCTCAGCTCCTCTGTTACCCCCGACTCCCCCAAGCCCTTACACTGCTTCTGACAGGAGCAGGAAGAGAAGGTTACTCATCTTGTGCAGTAACTGAGGTTCTTTGAGATGGCTGTCCCTATGGGTGCTCCACTTTAGGTGTTTGTGCGCCCCTGCACTTCTAGTCGGAGATTTGTAGTAGCAGTGCCCCGGTTGGCCATGCACACGCAGCAGCCATCTCACGCCACTCTGAGCGGCTACGCAGAGCACACAGCAAACCGCCCTCCACTTCCTTCTCTACCCAAGAGGATCGAAGAGAAACCCCAAAGCACAGGGGAGGAGAGGGGTAGTGGAGCACCCACAGGAACAACCATCTCTAAGAACCTCAGTTACTGCACAAGGTGAGTAACCTTTTCTTCAAGGAGTGCCCCTGTGAGTGCTCCACTTTAGGTGACTGTAGAGCAGTGCCCCTCTTTGGAGAGGAGGGGCTTCGGAGGTCCTGAATGCTGAAGCACGCATCAGCAGCTGAACGTTGCTCTAAAGCATAACGTTTGGTAAATGTATGGACTGATGCCCAAGTAGCTGCTTTACAAATGTCAATGACAGGTACGACTGAGAAAAGCTACTCGTGTGGATATAGCTCTGGTAGAGTGCATGCTAAGTACAGAAGGAGGTTCCAGATCATGTTTTTGGTGAAATGGATCTGACTTGATCAGATTATCCTAAGAGTCACTGTCTGGAAATGGTTTGGCCTTGGGAACGTTCTGTTGTGGATATAAATTGGGATGATTTTCTGAATGTCTTTGTTCTTTCTATATAGAACGCAAGCGCTCTACAAAACATCCAGCATGAGAAGGAACGCTTCCCTGCTGTCAGCGTGCAGCTTTGGGAAGAATACAGATAAGTAGATGGGTTGGTTGAGATGAAAGAAGGCAGCAACCTTGGGTATAAATTATGGATGTGGATGTAAGATTACCTTGTCCGTGAGGAATATGGTATAGGGTGGGTTTACCATTAGGGCACCCAGCTCTCCCACCCTCCTTGCCGACGTGATCGCCACTAGGAAGGAGACGTTCATGGATAAGTGTAACAGCGAGCAGGTAGCTAATGGCTCGAAGGGTTTGCCCATGAGAGTACCGAGAAGACTGTTGAGGTCCCCCATAAGGGTTGGGGGAGTCTTAGTGTGGGTTAAGTATTTTGTAGGTCTTTGAGAAAGCATTTAGTTAGAGGGTGGGCGAAGACAGTGAGTTCATCTATCTTAGAGTGGTAAGTGGTAATAGCAGATAAGTGCACTTTGAGGCCTTGTCTATACTTACCGGAACGGTGATCAGATGCATTGATAGTCGATTTAGCAGGTCTAGTGAAGACTCGCTAAATCAACCACCAATCGCTCTCCTGTCGACTCCTGTATTCCACCGGATTGAGAAGAGTAAGGGGAGTTGACGGGAGAGCGTAGCGTGGACCCCGCGGTATGTAGATCTAAGCTACGTCAATTTGAGTTATTCTCAAATTGCATAGCTTACACTTTTCCCTTTAACGTACACAAGGCCTGAGTAAACTAACGGAAAGACCAGATTTTTTGAGCATCAGCATGTATTCCAGTATTGTGGGTAGTGATGCTCATTGTGGAGAAACTTGTATGTCCCTGCACGATATGGAAAAACGTTTCCACTTGTGCACCTATGTTTTCCGTGTCAGTCGCCAGCTGTTCAGTAAGATATCCTGTACTTCCCTGGTTTGTCATTCATGGATTAGTCATGCCTTGAGACGGAGAATCAGAATATTGGGGTGGCGGAGGCATCCCATGTCCTGCGTCAGCAGGTAATGCACAAGGGGAAGGGTCCATGGTGGTCTTGTGGCTATCTGATTAAGGTATAGGAACCATGTTTGTCTGGGGCCATGTTGATGCACTTGAGGATTACTCTGGATTTGTCTTTTTATCTTGAGAAGTACACGGCTCAATAGTGGAGTTGGGGGGGAAGGCATACATCAAGGGGGCTTCCCATTACATGAGGAAGGCATCCCCCAGGGAATTGGGTCCAAGCCCTGCCTGGGAGCAGTATTGGGGCCATTTGGCATTGTGATATGTTGCAAAAAGGTCTATTGAGGGAAAACCCCATTGGAGGAATACAGTTTTCAGGATTCCTGGGGCCAGTTCCCATTCGTGCATTTGCGAGAAGCGTCTGCTTAGGTTGTCTGCTGTGACATTCTGGCTTCCCAGTAAGTAGACTGCAATGAGATCTATGCTTTTGGAGATGCACCATTCCCAAAAGTGAACTGCTTCTGCGCAGAGCAGGTAAGATGGGGCCCCACCTTGGCAATTTATGTAGAACATAGTGGCCAAGTTGTTCACGAGGATCTGGACAGTTGTTGCATATCAGTGGCAGCATGCATTTCGAAACGCCCTGAGTTCCAATAGATTTATGTGGAGGGTGGATTCCGCAAGGGACCACCAGCCTTGGATGGTATTCTTAGACAAGTGTGCTCCTCCATCCCACAAGGGAGGCGTCTTTGGTGATCATTACTGATGGGGTGTCAGAATGGAACACCTGTACACATTTTTTTTTGTCCACCATGTGAAATGAGTCTTTTTACCCCACTGGGCATTGTCAGTCTGTGGATGGAGTGCTTGTGGGGGAGTATAGACAGTATGAAGCCAGGTTTGTAGACACCTCTTATGAAGCCTGGCATGCTTCACAACAAACGTGGTGGCCCGGCATATGCCCTAAGACAGTGGGTCTCAAACTTTTTTACTGGTGACCCATTTCACATAGCAAGCCTCGGAGTGCAACCCCCCTAATAAATATATAAAAAAGTGTGTTTAATTTAACATTATTATAAATGCTGGAGGCAAGTGGGGTAGATTTCTGAATGTGGATTTGTAATTCTAGTTTTGTAAATAAGGGTGTTGTGATGTGAAGGACATTGACTGCAGCCTGGTACGTGGAAGCTTTTAGGAGGCAGTCATCTAAGAAGGGAAATATCACACCTTGTCTGAGAAGGCATGCTGCATGACAAGGACCTTGGATAATACCTGTGGATAATCCGAATGGGAGCACTCTGTACTGGTAGTGGAGGTTCCCAAGCGTGAACTGAAAGAACCTTCTGGGCACGGGATGAATAGTGACATGAAAATAGGCATCTTGTAGGTCAAGGGCCAACAGCCCATCTCCTTTCTCCAATGCTGGAATTATGGTTGCTAGGGTTATCATCTTGAAGTGCTGTGTTCTGACAAATGGTTTAGCTTGCGCAAGTCCAAGATGGGCCTCCATCCACCTGTTTTCTTCTGAGTGAGAGTAGTGTGAATAAAATCTGCTCCCCCTGTAAGTACAGGTTCTACAGCACCTAGTTGTAGGAAGTGGTTTACTTCCTGCTTTAACAGGAGATGGGTGCTCATGAGATGGGCCAGGGGGGTGGGTAGGCGGGATAGAGGAAAAGGGATAGAAGAGCCTTTGCGTATAATTTCCAGAACCCACTTGTCTGATGTAATGGTTGCCCAGACCGGGTAGAAGGGTTTTGGGTAGTCCCCAAATGGGCAGGAGATGAGGAACTTTGGCAGTGGAGTATGTGAGGCTCTCGTGCCCTCGACCAATACTTCAAAATGCTTGTCTGGAAGTGGATGGTTGAGACACTGCTGACTGCTTTGGGGCTTGTTGGCGTCTTGTCTGATGTTGTTTGTGGTGCTGGTCATGTCATCTGAGGTTGGGTAGATAGGGCAGTGCAGAAGCATTGGGTATAAAATCTGCCCTGTTTCTTTTTGTTCACAGGGGCATATATTCCTAGGGTTTTCAATGTGTCACAGGAATTCGTGTGTGTAAGGTTGCATCTGTGCCTTCTGCGACCAGTTTTTGACCTTTGAAAGGTAAGTCCTCTACCGTCGCCTCAACTTCCTTGGGGCAGCCTGAAAGGTGGAGCCAGGATGCCCGCGGCATGACTATGGAGGGGGCAACGGAGCGGGCCACCATGTCAGTGGAGTCCAAGGAAGCCTGTAAGGCCATTCTGGGGAAGCCTTCTGTTAGGTTAGCTTTATATTGTTCTTTACCTGTTGGAAGATGTTCAATAAAAGTTGTCGTCATTTGTGCAAATGTGTGTACTTTGCCTGTAATGCAGAATAATTTGCTATGTGAAACTGGAGGGTTGCCGTGGAATAGTCCTTTCTGTCAAAGAGGTCTAGGCACTTCCAATCTTTATCATAAGGGGTGGTCCTAGTTAGACATTGCTCTCCCCTTTGATTAACTGCCACCACCAATGAATTAGGGGTGGGGGAGGGGGGAGTGAACAAAAACTTAGCTCCCTTAGCTGAGACATAATACTTCTTGTCTGATCTTTCACAACGTGGAGCTGTAGCTGGCATCTGCCAGAAAGTTTTGGCTGGGTCCATGATGGCAGCATTGATGGGTAGTGCAATCTTAGCAGGAGGAGATGTATGGAGAATATGTCTGCTCATGCGGTCTCTCCAGCAGCTCTGACAAGGAAATGTTGAGGGAGTCAGCCACTCCTTTAAATAATTCCTGGAAGGATTTAAAGTCATCGCCTGATGTCGGAGGAGGCGGCATTATTGTTGTGTCAGGCGACAAAGATGTGGGTGGATGGGATGGTGCCACCCTGTGGTGGCTCTTCAATTGCTTCTGCTTCCTCCTCAAGGGCTTCTGGGGGCTACCGTCAGTACCGAAGAGAGGCGCTCCTGGAGTGGACGTGATGTGAAGAGGTCTGCCTGGCTAACTAACTGCTGCAGCACAGGCACGCTTGGTGTCGATGGAGGAGGCAGGCTTTTGATTAGAAATCATTGTGATTGCTGCTAGTGCTGTAGACTTGATGAAATGTATTGGTTGCAGCAGGTGGCGCCATCGTGCTGCTCCATGGCTCTGGGTGCCAATGGTACCCAGATTTGGTGGTCGGAGATTGCCTTTTCTGAGGCAAGGCGTGAGACCATTATTTCGTGCGGAACTGGGTCCTTAGCAGCTGTTTTGGAAGAGGATCCCATGTCCAATGCCACCACGGGTGAGTGTTGGCGGGGAGGGGTCCTGTGCTCAGGATCAGAAGCAGGTTGAAGGGATTTCTCCAGCATCATAAGTTTTAATTGGCGATCCCTAGCTTTTCTAGTTCTTGCTGTCCGCTTTCTGCAGTGGTGGCACTTCTGGGCAATGTGGGCCTCTCCCAGACAACACACACACACACACACACACACACACACACACACACACACACACAGAGTGACCATCTGAGACTGGTATTGACAATCTACAGATCAGACAGCATTTAAAACCTGGAGAACCAGGCATGTCAGAGAGGCTGTTCACAAAGAAGGAATGGGAATAGTCCCCTACAAGTCTACGACTAGAAGTGCAGGGGTGCACAAACACCTAAAGTGGAGCATCCACAGGGACAATACTTCTGTATTGTAATTTAAATGAATTACACAAAATTCTGTAATATGCCTAGTAAGGAATCTATTTGTCAAAAAACATTTCCTGAATCTTTTTTTGTCTGTATTATTACAGACATACTTGCTCAGATATTTTGAAATAAATTACCAAAATAATTGTAACTGGCATGATTATATTGTGTTATTTTGACAAAAAATATGCAGAATTCTGCAAACTTTTCAAAGATTGTGTGCAGAAATTTAAAAATTTTGGTGCAGATTTTCCCCAGAAGTAAAATTATGGTCTTAAGGTCTGAGTGGGGGCTTGTCACCAGAAGTTGATAAACAAGCTGAAAATGTTTGTCTCCATCTGCCTACACAAGTTAACTGGTTTGTTGCACACTTCACAATGAATGCTTATTTACCATCTCAGCAAAATGTTAATTGCAAACTTGGGGGGAGATTTTAGACAGGAAAATACAAGCAGCTGGGGTTACCCTATTTGCAAGGGATGACCATGGATTTTTGCACTGTAAGACTCACTTTGCATCCTTCACCTAGGAAGTAAGCAAGCCCACTGCCAGCTTCTGGGAAAACAAAGATCACAGCATCAAGCTGTTAAATGCTGGGAGAAGAACTTGGGTGAGACCCTCCTGTCTAATAAACTTCATCTTGTTAAGTTTAGGCCCTAGAATGTGTGTTGTGATTTTTACTTCATATGTAACTTCATTTCCCATAGTTCTCTAGCATTTGTATCACTTGTGTCAAATGAACTGGTACTTGCTTTCTCTAAACACAAATTTAGTTGCTGTGTGTTAAGCAGAGCTGCCTTGGAAGTTGTGGTGTACTGTGCCTTTGGGAATAGAGGCTCCAGAAATTCTGTGAGTGTCCAATGGACCAGGGGCAGGACACCGAAGGGGGACCCTCAGGGTAGGTCTGTCTACACAGACAAGAAAAACCCACGGCTGGCCAGGGCCAGCAGACTTGGGCTCACAGGGCTGTTTCCTTGCAGCGTAGATGTACAGGCTTGGACTGGAGCCTGAGCTTTGGGACCCTCCCAACACAGAAGATCCTAGAACCCAGGCTCCAGCCCAAACCTGGAAGTCTACACAGCAATGAAACAGCCCAAGTTGGCTGGCATGGGCCAGCTGCGGGGTTTACTTTACTGTCAAGACACCCTCCAAGAACCTTTGGGGGGTCGTAATGTGCTTAGCACAAGCCTGCAGAGTGATGGTGGAGCCAGCGTAGGCACAGGCCCTGACACACCCCTTGCCGTGCCCGTCTGGCGTCTCCTGGCCCTGCTCACCTGCACAGCGGAGGATGCCAGGGCGCTACCCTCACTGATGAAGCAGTCTGTCTGGCTGTTGGAAGAGACGATGGGCTGCAGTAGGGCTCCTGGGGCCAGCTGTCCCTTGCTGACGATGGTGGACTGCATCGAGACTTGCTGCACACCCTGCGGGGAGAGGGAGAAGTGCCTGTTACCCCCATGGAAAGGGCACAGCCTGGTGCATGGGCCACCCCACTGCTGCTACCATTGGAGAGAGGCTCCCCCACCATCTGCCAGGTAGCTGCTGGAGCGTGGCACCCACCTGAGTCCCATTGACCTGGGGCAGGAGTACCAGCTGGCCCATGACTTGCTGCTGGCCGTTCATCTGTAGGAGGCCGCGGGGCTGCACCAACTGGAGCTGCATGGGCTGTACGTAGGTGGTGCCGGCACCACTCTTAACCACAGGGGCCGTGAGGATCCGGGCGGGCTGCACTGGTGGCTGCAGAAGCGGAGGCTGGCTCTGGGAGACAGCAGCCTCGGGCCGGTTCGGGACCATGAGAGGGACATTCTTAAGAGGAGCCAGTACCTGGGGAGTGCCGGAGACCTGTTTCACCCCTCCTCCTGCCGCTGCCGGGCCGGTGGCATTGGCACGCTGGATCTGCGCGTTGGGGGCTGCGGCCTGCAGGGTGCCGCTCCGCTCTGAGACTATTGTTCCTGGAGAGAGGATGGGCATTGTTAGGGTGCATTTAAACAGAAGCACACGATCAGGGAACAGGGCACCCAGGCCTGAGTTAGGTCCACCTCTGGGTTTCCAGAGTCCTTTGCGTACCCAGTCCCAGCCACACATGTCTAAGCTACAACAAGCAGGGTGTGTCCCATGACAGCTCCTGGAAATACTGATGGCATAAGGAGCCATTGAGGCAAGCTGGCCATTTGGGATCTGCTCCCATGGCACAGCGGGGGCGCCCCGTGCGTTGGTTTAATGCCCACATCGCACCACAGCACTCCCCACCCTTGGCTGGCCCTGCTGTGCCTGGGGGGGGGGGGGGGGACACGGGGGGGGGGGGACGGGAAGGGGGGAGAGAAAGATTTCAGGTGGATCCCAATGCTCAGAAAGCAGCTGCAGGACTGGGCCCCACAGCTCAGCTACAAGAAGCGTGGTCAAGAGCTGCTCTGCCTGACTCCCCTCCACACGGGATCCACTCAGCTGTGCCCAACAGGGCAGGGGTACTACCTGGGTGTTGGCTGAACCCTGATGCCAGGCTCCCCAGGTGCAGTGGCAACCGCCCACAATCAGCCACTTCTACACCATCCCTGGCTCTTACATTATGGGACAGGAGGGCTCATGTCATTGGGCTTGGGACCTGCATACACAGTGGTCCCCTGCTGTCCTGCCACAAGCCACTCACCAGCCAAGACCCAGCCCCCGGGGAGGAGGGACAGCCGGGGCACTGGGCTCTCAGCACAGACAGCGCACAACTTTGGGGGGGAGGGGAGAAAATACAGAGGTCAACACGGTCTGGGATCTCTGCAATCCCCTTCCCTCCACGTCACATGCCCGCACCGTCTCAAAGCCAGTGAGTCTCACAGAGACCCCCAGCCCTACGGCTCACCGAAGGTCTCCGCACTCTTGGTCCAGGCGTTAAGATCCCACTGGAACTTCATGTCCCCCTGGGGCTCCACGGGGTCTACGATCATCTTGAGGGCACGATGCAGCTGGAAGTAGATCTGGGGGGGGGGGGGGAGGGGAACAGATGGTCACACCCAGGGTAATGATGCTGCTGAAACCCAGGAACCTGGGTCCATTCCTCCAGTCCTCTCCTCCCATGTAACCCTGGTGTGGCCAGGAAACCCAGACATCTCAAAGCGATTGGACTCTGGATCAACATGCAGTGTCCAGGAGATCCCACTCTCGGAAGCTTGGGGGGAGAAAGCTGGTCGCAGCCTCCCACTAATCGTCACAGGTTCGTTCACCAGTGAGAATGCTATGGAAACAGGGAAGCTTCAATGGTTCTGGGTGAATGGGTCAGATAGGGATGTTTCCTCCCGTAGGAGCAGTCAACAAGGGTAATTAATGCCACTCCCACCCCTGCAACAATGCAGGTAACCCTCAGCTGAGCAGTGCTGAGCCAGGTCAGACCAAGCAATCAGCTCTGTGCTGGGGAGAGGGTTACCCACTCAATCCAAGAACTGACAGAAGACTGACAGGCCAGGGTGCATTTAAAGAGAAGCACCTAAAACAGCCACCTCCCTAGCCTGCACCCACCCTCCCACAGCAGCTTGGAGCTCCAGGGCCACCGCCCCAGTGGCGGAAGCAGAAAATGTCAGAGGTTTCTGTAAGTCCCAGTTTTCATGCCTTCCATGACCTCTGAGACACAATCTTAGCCTTAGTCATGATCTCCTGCAGTTATGCAAATACCCAGCCTTCTGAACATAAGGGGGGCCAGATGGGTCAGACCAATGGTCCATCTAGCCCAGTAGCCTGCCTTCTGCCAGTGGTCAATGCCAGGTGCTTCAGAATGAACAGAACAGACAATTAATGAGTGATCATCTACTATCATTCAGTCCCAGTTTCCAGCAATCAGAGGCTTGGGGCACCCAGTGCATGGGGTTGCGTCCCTGACCATCTTGGCTGGAAAGGGTGAGAGGTCATCTAGTCCAGTCCCCTGCACTCATGGCAGGAGTAGGTATTATCTAGACCATCCCTGACATGGGTTTGTCTAACCTGCTCTTAAAAATCTCCAATGATGGAGATTCCACAACCTCCCTGGGCAATTTATTCCAGTGCTTAATCACCCTGACAACTTATCTAGCTATGCCCCGAGGAAAGTACAAGTCTACTGATTGTCTGCTCATGGAATCTCGGGTCCAAGACCATAGCTATATAAAAGGACAGCAAGTTATTCATAGGGGTGCCTGTTCTCAGCAGAAGCAGTTATGAACTTGTAACCCGGGGGCGGGGGGGGGGAACCTTGCTGGGGTTTGAAGGACTGATCAGCAAGAAGCCTTCCCAGATGATCGCTTCTAAAGCTTATCAGCACACATGCAGATTTTTGTATTGCTTTCATAGGTTTTCTACAATGCTTTCACCTTAGGAATAAGTGTGCTTCCTCAGAGCTGAGTGGTAACTAACCAGGGACAACCACACTGAGAATAAAGTGCAGGCATTGGCCTGCTTAGGGCATTGGGATGATTTAGTTGGGAATTGGTCCTGCTTTGAGCAGGGGGGTTGGACTAGATACCTCCTGAGGTCCCTTCCAACCCTGATATTCTATGATTCTATGACTTGCCAGGGGGATTTACAGTGTAGGCAGGGAATTGCCCAGCCTGGCAATACCCTGGGCAGGAGGGAGAGACGTGGGTCTCCGCCCAAAAGAGCGGACAGCTGTGGAGCCTGAAGTGGGTGTCCCCTTGCTGGACCACAGAGGAGGAATGCAGGTGCAGCACCTAAGCTGTGACATGTTGCCCAACACCTGCAGGAGCCTCACCCCTTTCAGAAAGCCAAGTGGAGAGAAGATCTCCACTGGAACCAAGCCTGGAGAGCACCCTGCAGCGACTACAGCTGAGCCAGAGATCAGGGTCTGACCTGCCACTAGATGGGGCCCCATTGTGTTGCACCCCATCCCCCTGCCCGTCTAGTCACTCACCAGTTTCTTGGAAAGCAGCAGGGCAGTGTTGTTGTCACTCTCCAGGGCCCAGGAGGCGAAACGCAGGATGTGCTCCTGATGGCGCTGCAGCTTGGTCATGGCCCAGTGCTGGCGCTCCAGCTTCTCTTGCTGCCCCTCAGTCACTTTCTGCAACACAGCCAGGTGCCAGCACCCCATCAGCAACAGCACAGAGACCTTCTCTCTCCTCCCCCCCCCCCCAGCAGAATGCTGCCACATGCCCCGGGCTGCAGTGCAGCCTGTGTGGAGAAGTGGGAACGGCCTGATATTTTAATGAAGGATATGCACGGTTGTGAACTGAGTAGGGATTGGTGCCAATGCAGTACAGATTCCTGCTCGGAAACTTCTCAGCTGAATGCGCTGGGCACAGCTCATGGGGTGGGCCAGAGGGTGAGAGTCGGACCCCTTGGGGGCTGGCACAATGGAAGAGTTCCTCCAAAGGACTGTTTAAAAGCGGAGATGGAGCACAGATCCTATTGATCCATGACAATGGGGGGGAGCCAAGGGGGACAGCTCCCTGACTCCCTACTCCTAGGGAGTGAGCAGGTTTCAGTGCTAAGATCCACATGCACTCAGAGGAACTCTTTGCACACCTGTGTTCAAGGCCCCTGCAAGGGCAGCAGGAGGGCGAGTCAGGGGTCTGCTCCAGAGGTGGGTTGGGAGGGCCTTCCACAATATGCACTCACCTGTGCGTCATTGACGAGCACCTTGCCCCGCTTGTTGAGTTCCTTCATGATTTGCAGGATGGCCATCTTCACATCCACCTGCACCCGCTTCTGCACATCCGTCACCTGCCGGATCCTGCGTAGCCAGCCAGAGCCACACGCTGAGTATACCATACACCCACACCCGCTCCCCTCCCCAGGGCTTTCTGCATCTCAGCCAGCCAAGGCTGGGAGAGGTTCTGCAATAGCACAGCTTCCCGTCCCATCCCTTTGGAGTGCCTCTGACACAGGCCTGGGCCCAAACTGCCCTCTGGAAGTGGGCACCCTTCTGTCAATCCCAACTGCTTCCTCCCCAGCTTAACAGCAGTCCTGGAGGCCTCTGTCTTGACCTTTCCTGCCAGTTACGACCCCCTCTTTGGCTCACAGGGGATGCAGGAAGTCAACAGGAGTCTGTTCGGCGACGCCGGCATGGACATTGCTGGCAAAGATACTCTGGTCCTAGGCACATGCATACACATAGGGACCAGCACTCAGAAAAGCTCTCTCAATCCCCTCCTCCCCCTGTCACAAGAAAGGGTTTCCCTGCACATCTTTGGGGGTGGGAGAAATCCCTCCTTGGGGCTCAGCAGCATGGGCAGGGACCCCTCCCCAAGGTCGGGACGCTCAGTATGGCTACATACGAGGTGCGCACTTCCTTGGTGGATTTCTGCAGGTTGGCATGCTTGTCCCCCAGGCGCTTCACCAGTGCAGCCAGCATCTTGCGCTGATTCCTGACAGCATCCTCCAAGAACTGGTATCTGTGGGGATGGAAATGGAGAGTGATGTTCTCTGCTTGGCCAGCTATGAGCAGGTGCAGGGGCTGTGACCCATGAACCCCTCAATGCCAGCGGGCCAAGGGGTTGCAACAATCTCCTGGTTCTGGTGTGCACATTTTGGCTCACTTAAGTACATCACAGGAAGTCTCAAACGAAAGCCAGGGCCACACTGACTGGTTATTAATGTTGTTGTGAAATGTACATACACACTTAAAATATGTTCTTATATTCTGTATCACAGCAACAGCAAAGAAGCAGGTTTCCTGCTAGACAAGGGACCTTAATTGGCTGTCTTTTGACCAGCAAGTAAATTAATCACTAAGCTAAAAAAACCACAGGCATGCTTACATAGGCAGTCAACAGGGAAGAAAACAGCAGGGGAAGAGAACCTCACCTTGATACACGTCAAAGGTTTGGTGGGCTACATTTGGGAAACAGAAGACAACCCCCACCCCCCCATCTTGTCTTCCACAGGAAGTAAGCGGGCACTGTGTTCACTTTCATGAAAATGGACGCCCTGCCCACCTCGGTTGGAACAGAAGTCTGGGGCAAGATGAACTTTAAGACAGGAAGTTAGCCTGTTAAGTCGAGTCTCTAGGAAGCGTGTTTGTATTTTGCTGGGTGTGTAGCCTTGTGTGTTCATTTCCTCACTATCTCCTGACTCTGATAATAAATTTGTTTTCACTAGAAACATCTCAGGGCTGCAGAACTATGTAAGGCACTGATCCTGAGTTGAATCACACAAGCCGGGGTACCCCTACTGCACTAAGTGCAGGTGGGTACAGCCCAGAGGAGACTGCTTGGGTGGCTGACAGGCTGATGGTAACAGATGAGGCAGGGGTGTAAAATGACTCCGTTCTGGCTACTCTGAGAACCATCACGGGGGCCCAGGTGCGAACAGGTCAAAGAACACCAGAACCCAACCTACCCACAGCACAAAGGGCTGGTCTAGCTGCCTCAACCCCAGCAGCAGCAGGAAACGTGGCAGAGGTCAGCAGTGCCTAGCGGAGAGGTCTGGCACAGCCATCCCATCCAGGAGAAAGGATGCACAGGCTGGCAGAGAGGTCTGCTACAGCTGTCCCATCTGGAAGAAAGCACCGCACAGACTGGCAGTGGGTGCCCACATCTCCAGCTCAGCTGGGGAGAGAGCCTGGCCCAGGCCAGCCACACCATTAGTATCCCAGGCAGAGGTGGGGCAGCACAACCCTGTCCCAGAGCGGACGGGGAAGGGGTAGCGGAGAGCGGCCTATTCGCTCACAGCAGAGTACAGCCAGCGGGCGTGCATGCTTACTGGTGATCCTTGTGGGCGTTGAGCTGACAGTCCCTACAGGTCAGAGTGTCACAGGTATCACAGAACAGCACCAGGGGCTCATGCTTGTGCACGGAGCAGTAGACTGTGCGCTCACCCTCCTTTGACTTTGACGGGCCTAGAACAGAACGCGAGCATTACTCTTCTCCTCCAGCCAGGGCCCCAGGGGCACCCCAACCACAGCAGCCAGCCTAGAGTGGCCTGCAGGTCGGGAGTGAGGGGCACCGGCAGTGCAGGACAGTGAGTGGGGGGCAGCGGATGGGGGGGGACTGAGGGATAGTGGCAGAGCTGTGCATTGGAGTGGATCCAGGGGGGCTGCAGGACTAGGTTAAGGGGCAGAGCTGAAGGGGAAGCCTGCTCAGCCATCATGTGCAACATGCCCAACTACAGCCTGCATGTCCAGATCTCTCCTGTTTCCCAGATCCCCTCTTCAAGGCTTCCAGTGCGGGTCATGGGCAGCAGAGCCCATGCTGCCAGGGGGTGGGCACTGCATGGAGCCTATCAGATTAAAGTCCTCTCCCTCACCAGTGGGAACTTAGCTTTCTGCCTCTGGAGCCTTGTCTACATGAGGAAGTTGCACACTTCCCAAAGGGGAGAATTCAAACTGATTCAGTTAAAGCAGTACAATCCCAGATGGATGCTCTCATTCCATCTGAAGAGTGGACTGTATCACCCAAGAACAGGTTAAGCTGAACAGAACAGATTGCATAAACAAGGGTTTGCACAGATTTAGCCAAATCAGTTTCGAACCGGTTTAAACCAGCTCTCGTATAGACACCCAAATGCGGCACTCTGGGTGGGAAAAGAGAAGTGGTTTCACTCCATGACCCCAATCCCCACCCTATCCCTCTTCAAGGGGCAGGCAGTACCAGGCTAGCGCAGCATTCCCCTGCCAGGAGTGGGGCAGGGTACTGACCTGTGGATCTGACCGTGTGGTCCTTGGTATACTTCACCCTCTGGTGGGCTTCCACACACGTCTCACACAGCGGCTCTGAGCACTCCACACAGTAGCTGGTAGCAGGGGCGTTGTCATCACAGCTGGTGCAGCACTGGGGGACAGGAGAAAGGGTGAGCACCAAGGAACACACCAGCCCCACAAATTACGCCACAACCTTGGAGAGACAAGCCTAGGCACAGGGCAAGGATAGACACTGGGGCTCGTTTCCAAGGGTGTTCAGCGTTCCTGGCTCCCAGTGCAGTTATGGGCACCCGTGGTATTGCATGGAGCAGATGACCCTGGGAGCACAGCTCTGGAGTCCTCCAACGCAGACTGAATGGAAGGAGATGGGCTGCAGCTGTGCAACAGGCTTAAGGCAGAGAATAGTTATAGTCAAGGCTAGCGCCAAACCTTTCTACACTACATTGTTTATAGAGGCACAGCTGCACCACTGTAGTGCTTCGGGTGAAGATGTTGTAAGCTGACAGGAGAGCGGCTCTCCCACCTGCAAAGGGCTGAGAGAGCACTGTCTACACTGGCCCTTAGGTCGGGATAACTTACGCCACTCGGGGATGTGGACATTTGTAGTGTCGACATAGTTTAAGGGGATGATTGTATGAACACAAGGGCTTCATTCACGCAGGCAGCTCTTGTAATGAGAGAATTGAACTTGACCTAACTGCAGCTATTTTGTGTGGCTAGCCACCTTTAGTTGAAAAGCAAATACACCACATAGATAGGACTCAGAGGCAAGGCCAAACAGCTGCACGTTTGCAGTTTTGCTCATCAGAATGGGAGGATGGGACAGAGTTAATGGACTATGAGAACAGAAGAAATAACCGACCTCGGTTCTGAGTGCCCCTGACATAAGTTTTATTGTTATGACTAGAAATGCTTTGCTGATAAGGGATAATGAGCAATTTACTGAAGCTAGAAGAATTGGTGACCCACTAGGGGGTTACAGTGGTGACCCATTAGGAGTCACTGAGTTTGTGCTTTGTTTAAGTTAGCAGCTATAGAAGGTTATCAAAGGTTATAAGAGAACACACTTTGGAGCAGTTCGAAGGAGCTTTTCTTTGAGCAGTGACTGACCTCTCCTCCCCAGCAGCTGGACTAGGGTTACCAACCCTTCAGGATTGTCCTGGAGTCTCCAAGAATTAAAGATTATGTCAGGTAATGAAACCTCCAGGAATATGTCCAACCAAAACTGGCAACCCTAAGCTGGATGGAAGGAGGGCCCCCAGAACCCCGGCTACTGATGACTCAAAACCATCTCAGACTTTGGGTAAATTACTTGGTGTGCTCTAAAACTATTGCTATGGCATATGCGTGAGTGCCTGAGACACAAAAAGGGAGCTTTGGATGAAAGCACTCGTTTGTACCAATCATTCAGCAGACAGAGGAGCTGTGTCCCCATCAATTTAATCCTGACACCGGCTGGAGAAAACCAATTAAGTTACCACAGTTTTGAGTTCTGAAAACCCTGGGTAATGGCCTGACGACTGCTCCAGGTAACACCTAGGCTATTTACTTTGAAGTTCTGGTTTTCGCCACCTGAGGAGCTGGCCAAGCTGAACTGCCTTCGGATAGATAAAAAGAGAGGCCCTCAATGACAGGGGCAGACAAGCTCTCAGAGAGCAGAGGTCAGAGTAAGACAGGCCTGGCCTGAGCTTTTATTTAAGACAGACATGCACTTAAACAGCCTCTCTCATGCTTTGAGATGTTCCCACTGATGCACTTAGTTCTAAAGCAGCTGTTTCATTCGGGTCACTATTCACCGCACAAACTGAAGAACCGCAGGCACTGGTCTGTTTGGACCTGCTGGGTAAGCACGGCTGGTACACAAGGAGACCATCTAGGAGTGGGGAAGTCAGGGAGATAAATCCTGAGGCTGGACGCCCGAGGAGGTGCTCTCAGAGAGGGGATCCAGGGGCAGCTAGACAGGTAACAGTGATCATGGGTCATCTCAGAGGGAGTGAGTGTCAAAGAATCAAGGCCCAGGATCAAGGGCTCTGCTCACAGCCAAGTCCTGCTGTGACACATCAAAAGTCTCCTCCCATCCTGTCCCCTCCCTACCCGTCTGGTCTATTTATAATTAAATGCTGAGGGCCGAGCTTGTGCCTTTACTGTGTCTGCACAGCACCCAGCACAGCAGTCTATAGGTGCTACTGTAACAAATTGCCACCTCCAAAAGGGGCCTGACAAAGCACCGACGAGTGCACTGCCTGCCTTGGGCAGGGCATACACTGGAGATACCTCAACATCCCCAATGAGACAGCCCCTTCCGACCCCAGCAGCCAGGAGCAGCGTGGAGCACGGTGTCAGGAAAGGAAGGGCCAGGTGCTCTGCACTGCTTCCTTTTACCAGGAGAACGGAGCTGATCTATGGCCAGAGGGACTGCAAGCTACCCCCACCACAGCCTGGTCTGCATGGCAAGTTGGGAATAAGAGGGTGGGGAGCAGAACTGTGTTCTGCTGAGGGGGTCAGTCAGAGCCCTTCTGGGGAGGAAGGGGTAGAAGGTTGCACTCCTACCTGGTTGGCATCCTTGCTGTCTGTGGCTGCCTCCGCCCCGCTGTCTCTCAGGAAGTAGTTCTCCACGATGTCCTTGAGGTAACACTGGTGTTTGCACACAGGGCAGTCCACCACTGCAAGGTAAGGGGAGCAGAAGAAAGCGTCACATACTCAGGAAGCGGCAGCAGATATGTAGCTAATCCTAGGGGTGCCACTCCTGGTGTAGTTAATCCTCCTCCCTGAAAGGTGGTAGCTATGTCGAGGGGAGAGAAGCCCTCCTGTCAACAGAGCGCTGTCTACACTGGGAGTTCGGTTGATACAACTGTCAGCCATCCCTGAAAATCCACACCCTTGAGTGACCTAGTTATATACCAACACACGTCTGTACAGTAGACCGGAGCTAAGATACCTAGGGCTTTCCCCGGACACGTCCGGCTTTTCCGTCTATAAATAGCCGTCTGGGGGGGATTTTTAAAAATCTAAAAGTGTCCGGGATTCCCCCCTGGTCAGCTATTTATAGACAGAAAAGCGGCAGCCAAGCGCTGCTGGGCACCCAAAGCCCCTTCCCGGCTCCCCGCATCCCCTGCAGCCTTACCACGCTGTCCAGCCCTGCAGCTGTCTTCCCCCTCCTCCACTCCCCTGAACGCTCCACCCACCTGTTCCTCCCCCTCCCCTGCGAATCAGATCTTCATGGGAAGTCTGAAAAGAAGCAGGGGCAAGCGGGAGGCAGCAGCAGCAGCTAAGCTGGGGCTGGGGCGTGAGGAGGAGAGGTCCAGCTCCGGGCCCAGCAGCACAGGGCCCTGGTTCTGGCCAAGCGCGCCGGCCCAGCCCCAAGCCCCGCAACCCCGGCCGGAGCTCCAGACAGAGTGCAGCCCGATTCCTGGGCTCTTTAAAGCCAGCCCTTGTCAGGGGACAGGGAGGGGGGTTGGATTGGTCAGGGGTTTGGGGGGGG